GGCGCACACGCTCGTTTTTTCCGCGACGCGCTAGCTCCATCAGGGGCGAAACGGCGAGGGGGGGGGGGTTGTACTCGTCCCCCCCCCCTCGGCCGGCGCATATCGACACCTTTTTTTAAACCCCACATTTGTTCTCCCGTGAAGTTCAGACAAGTTGTTTAGAAACCTTCAAAAAAGGTACAGTCACTCGATTTTTCTTAAGTTTGTCTGTCTTGGCAGATCAAGCAATGCCAGAGCAAGCTTACGAACACACAAATTTGATCAGGATCGGACGATTGGACACTTCTAAAAAGAGATCTTTCGTGCTTCCCGGAAATTCACCGGAGAACAGATGTGGGGTTTAAAAAAAGGTGTCGATATGTAGAAAACCAATAGGGCCGGCGAGGGTTAAAAATGGGTATCATCGGCTTCCTCTCGTGACGGGCAACACGCTCGTTTTTTCCGCGAAGCTCTAGCTCTCAGAGGAGTGGAAGATAGAAATATCCCTGCACTGTAGACCCATTGGCTAAAACCTCTACTAGAAAGGTTTAGGTCTTTCAAAAGTGCTTCTTCAACAAAATAGCTTTCGCGTGACACGTACCAGTTGCCACGACGATCACCTATGTATGCTATATGTAGATGTATTAAGAGCAATTAAGTACGGGGTAGAAGAAATAGGCTTCCCAACAAAAAGGGCGGCAGATCGATCAGCCCAACCACTGCAACGGTTACTAAGGCATGAAATATATGCCTCTCAAAAGCGTTACAGGCTGGGCCGGGCCGTTATATGTAAATGCTGATATCTTTCCGTTATCTTAACCCTCGCCCGTATAGGAGGGGGGGGGGGGTCGAACGGACCCCCCTCGGTTTTTCGCCAATAACTCGCGTAAAAAGCGGTCGATCGCGACGAAACGTTAAGTACCCTCGCGTTAATTAATTTTACACCTCCCCTTAAATTTTCATGACCCTGACCTGAATGACCTTTGACCTGTGACCTACTTTTCGAGACCATGTTTGGCCGGGATCGCGATTCGGCGTATGTCGGCTGGCATTAGCCGCGCGTTTGCAGTCTTTTCGTGGTTTTAAGCGTTCAAACATGGGATATGATGTTGCTTCCATGCAGTAGGGTGGGTTTCAAGGTCACCGGAAGGTCAGGTCAGGTCATTGACCTTTGGTGACCTCGGTTCACTTTTTCAAGTTTTACATGTTTCGAGGCCAGTTTTTGGAGCTGAATTCGAATTTAGCAACCATATGAACATTTACGAAGTAGTTTTGGCACCTTCGTAACATGTTCGAAGCTGTCAGAGGCGGTTGCCACCTACTACGAATACCCTTACTGGTTGACCTGACCTGACCTGACCCGACCTGGCCTAAATGCATGAACACATCATCTGTGGTCAAAACTAACATGATATTCGTGATCAGCACCCCGAAAAACGTCATAGCAGCCACGCTTTACGACTTTCTAACAGGTCCCGATTTTCCCGACTTTTGGGTCATTGATATGACCTGGAAGGTCAACCGATGACCTAGGACCTTAAAATTGGGTATCATCGGCTTCCTCTCGTCACGGGCAACACGCTCGTTTTTTTTTTGCGAAGCTCTAGCCCGATCAGGGGCGAAACGGCAAGGGGGGGGTCCGTCCCCCCCCTTATACGTTCGCGGCTGGAAAAACATCAATACGGCGAGGGTTAATCGCCGGCACAGGGGTGGGGGTTGATGCACCCCCTCCCCTAAGGTTTGTCGCGAATAACTCGCGTAAAAAGCGGCCGATCGCGACGAAACTTTCGGTACCCTCGTATTGATTAATTTTACACCTACTCTGAAAATTTCATGACCCTGACCCAAATGACCTTTGACCTGTAACCTCTTTTCCGAGACCATGCTTGACCGGAATCGCGATTCGTCGTATGTCGGCTCGCTTTAGCCGCGCGTTTGCAAGCTTTTCGTGATTTCAAACGTTCCAACATGTGATTTGATGTTCTTCTCATGCATTAGGGTGGTTGTCAAGGTCACCTGAAGGTCAGGTCAAGTCATTGGCCTTTGGTGACCTCGGTTCACTTTTTGGAGTTTTACATGTTACTATGCTAGTTTTTGGAGCTGATTTCGAATTTAGCAACCATTTGTACATTTACGAAGTAGTTTTGTTGCCTTCGTAACATGTTACGAAGCTGTCAGAGGCAGTTGACACGTACTACGAATACCCGTCACGACCCCTACCGGTTGACCTGACCTGACCTGACCCGACCTGGTTTAAATGCTTAGAAACAAAATCTCTGATCAAAACTAACACGATATTCGTGATCAGCACCCCGGAAAACCCCATAGCAGCCACACTTTACGACTTTTTAACAGGTCCCGATTTTCCCGATTTTCGGGTCATTGACCTGACCTGGAAGGTCTCCCGATGACCTAGGACCTTAAAATTGGATATCACCGGCTTCCTCTCGTGACGGGCAACACGCTCGTTTTTTCCGCGAAGCTGTAGCTCGATCAGGGGCAAACGCGAGGAGGGGTCGTACCGTCGATGTACCCTTGTGCCGTCGATGGACGCAAAATGGCCTGTGCCGGCGAGGGTTAAAAAGATTTCGCTTCGCTTGCGCGGTCCGTTCGCTCGTATATTCCTCCTTCGTTTTAACCCTCGCCCGTATTCGTGTTTGCCAGCGTCTAACGTATATGGGGGGGGGGGGGGTCCGTTGGCTCTTCTTGCCGTTTGGCCTCTGATGGAGCTAGAGCTTCGCAGAAAAAAAAAAACGAGCGCGTTGCCCGCAACGAAAGTAAGCCGATGATACCCAATTTTATGGTCTTATTTATGTCACTGGTTGACCTTCCAGGTCAGGTCAATGACCCAAAAATCGGGAAAATCGGGACTTGCTGGAAGTTCGTAAAGTGAGGTTGAAAAAGAGATTTTGTGGGGTGCTGAACACGTAGTTCATGTTAGATTTGATCACATACCTTTGATGTCTTAATGTATTTAGGCCAGGTCGGGTCAGGTCAGGTCAGGTCAACCATTAGGTGACCTGCCGGCCATCCATAGCAGGTGTTGACCACTTGACAGCTTCGTAGCATACGAGGGCACCAAAACTATTTCATAAATCTCCAAATGGGAATTCGAAATCAGCCCCAGAAACTACCATAGAAACATGTAAAACTCGAAATAGTGAAGCAAGGTCATCAAAGGTCAATGACTTTGACCTGACCTTCACGGGACCTTGAAACCCACACCAAAAAAAGCATGGAAATTGCGCGGATAATGTGAGCCTCAGCCGGCATATGTACGCTAATTCGCGATTCCGGTCGAACATGGTCTCGAGAATCAGACCACAGGTCAAAGGTCATTGGGGTCAGGGTCATTAAATTTTAAGAGTAAGTGTAAAATTGATTAACTCGAGGGTACTGAAAGTTTCGTCGCGATCGGCCGCTTTTTGCGCGAATTATTCGCGAAAAACCGGGAGGGGTCTGTTCGACCCCGCTATATGTATGTGCGAGTGTTAAGTCACTAAAAATCTGTCTTTAAAGTAAGAAAAGTTTATTCCTGAGCTGAGAGGCCAGAGTTGTACAGTTGGAGTAGGTACTTCAACATATCATGTAGGTATTTGCTTACATCCATGCATACATTCTCGAATTAAACATCAATAATGCCCACTAAAGGCATATTGCTCTTTGGAACGTCGCTTTCGGTATGGGGATATCATGGGTCTGAAAGCTGACACGGGTGATACCCCCTCAGTGGGGTTCTGGCATGGTCTGCGTTGGATCACCCACCACCACAATGGGCGGTTCCTCAAAACCAGCGTAATTGACCGGTGTGAGGCGGTGACGTGAGGCACGCGAGTGTGGGACCGTCCCCATGCCGTGGCGGTCCGGGTCAGGGGAGCAGCCCCCTCCCCGCGCGGCGGGCGGTCGCCCATTCATCCGCGACCCCAACCCCATGACTGAGGGGTTGACAGAGGGCAAACATCACGTATTTAAACTGGGCAAACAGACGGTGTTCTACGCTAGGGACATCTCGCGGCTGTGATTCACGATACTGCTTCGCCAAACTGCCTTTAGATGGTGGGTCAGTCGGTGTCCGTCTGCTGCTGTGCGCCGAGAATTAGCCCTATAAATTACCATGAATTACACCTTCTAGTGTGACGATACAATCACATTATCATATAGGTCGCGTTTAGATGCAAATGAAGAAACGACTGCGTTGAAAAAATATGTCATTTCATCGAACGCTGAAATGCTCGAAGTGCTCGCTAAAAAATGAACTCGCTAACTGAGCCCTAAAGGTCGGCTGCCGTGTTGCATTGCATTTAAGCCAAAAACGCGGGCTGGGTGTAAGTTGTCGAGAAACAATTTTTGGCCTGAAGTGTTCTCTAAAGTATTATCTACATAGATCCAGGGAACATATTTGCTATCTATGATGGCTTAGGAGATATTGAATCGTAAGTCCTCCGGTGTACCCTGTTTTGCGGCGGCCCACGTGTTAAAAGCTGCTGAACATTTTTACTTTGACCAAAAAACGCGGGCACAGTTTTGTCTGTACGAAAATGACTCTTGTGCTATCGCATTCCACGTGGGCTGAAAATTCAGAAACCAGGGAACATATTTGCTACGACCAGTACTTTTCACGATTCAGACCGAAACGTGAAAAAATAGCCCCAAAACCCTATGGCGGGCACCTCCCCGCGGCGCCCGGCCGCGGGTCGCTAGTTCCCGAAACGACACACCATGTGGTCTCATTTTTTCCATGCAACGCCCATAGGGCTAATGCTAAAATGCCAAAATCAAAGGGGGGCACGGTGCCCCGGTGCCCTCCCCGTTTCGCCGCCTATGGCTGACTCACTGCGATGGCTGATGGCCCAGAATGATGCTTGCGCCCATGGCATTTCGTCATTCGTCAGATTGTTGACCTGTGATCAGTGATGCTTACAACGGATGAAATATAAATGATGATGATCATGATGGTGATGATGATGAATGCAGCTTTTTAGCGGCACCATAGGGAATTGTTTCTCAAAAACGGCGCAGCTGACTCATGAAATGGCGTGTTCGTAAATATTATTGTTAATTTTATCTGCGAAATAAGTGAAATATCATGCGCTGATTGGTTCATTTTCATTTTGTCTTGCGATAGCGTTGTGCGCAGGAAGCTTCGAATAGCTGTGTTTCTAACACCATGCTAAACGCATTTGTATTCTCTACCACATGGCATGACTCAGGCTGGGGGCGCGCATTGAACTCTATAGATGGCCTCGATTGAACTTTGAAGTTGACCCCTTCCTACCAAGCGACGAGGAGACAAGCGAGGCACGAAGGAACCCAACCCAACGAGGTAAGAGTGCGAGGTAAAAATTGATAACTGTAAGATGAACAGGCCTGAAAATACAACTACAAAAGTTGACTAGGTACCTATTTGTTTTCATCAAAACATCCGCAATGAAAGATAAACATTTCCCGATATCTGTAAAGCTGGTGTCACTGTCCCTGCGAACCAGTAAATGTGTTGATGAAGACTGAAAGGATTCAGCACAGGGCGTTCTCCATCTGCGTCCTCAATGATGAACATTCTACCAGTCCAGGGACCAGCGGTCGTCGCTTCCAAGTTCCAACACCATGAACCTATTCAAAAACCGGCTTGACTCTCACTGGGCACACCTTGCACACGACATCCTCCACGCGGAGATAGTCAGACGCATGAGGAGTGTTCTGTTCCAACAAGGTGTATGTAAAAGCGATAGGGCGAGAGTAACAGTGAGCGAAAAATGAAATTGTTTCTCTGATGAAAAATGTGAAGAAATGTATAACCTTTGAAAAGGAATTTGAAATTGGCTCGAAACTTGGTTCAATGTGGTGCTATAATTGTTTCGGCTCAATGAATGAATGAAATGCTTGCGTTTCCATTTTTCTTGATTGGAAAGATCCGGCACTGTTGTTTAAAGGGACCCTCCCACCTTCAAAAAAGTTTATGAATTGGCATGAAAGTGATGTCGCTCGGTTCAGAAAGACCGAAAACGAATATCTACCAAATTTCACCGAAAAATATTCACCAGTTTTCAAGATATTAGGCTTTTACTTTTGTTTACTTTTTGGGATCCCCGGCCCCCGCTGTTCCTAGCGACATTATTTGGAAGCAATAGTTTGGCAGCTGAAAGTGCGGCACTCATTGCGCGCAAAGCAGCATATATCACCGCGTGCTACAAAACGTTTTAGTCAAACATTTAAAAATAGTTAGATCTGCGCTGACGTCACACATTCAGAGGGGTATTCAAATGCATTAGCCCCTCTGGATCAAAATGCTGCAATTTTGAAACTCAATATTTCCGATTTAAGGCATTTCTCAATTCTCGATGTTGTGAGTGCCGAAACCGGTAATTATGAGCCAGGGACCCCATTTTGGCTATCTCAACTCAAATCTAATGTTAAGGTGGGAGGGTCCCTTTAATGTTGCAGACACAACAAGGAGCTTGACTAGAAAGCAGGGATGGGGACCCGTGGAAATTTCAGACGGCTCCGGAGAAAAAAATCAGCTACGGCTCCGGCTCCTGGTGAAATGCCATGGCGGCCCCGGCTCCGGCTCCAATACTCAGCACATCCCCTATGCAATTAGAAACGGGTGAAAGAAAAAAAGATGGCAGATTGATTTAACTACAATGAAAACGCTAGGTTATGATGGCCTCTCCGACCGAAGATGGGATTGGAGCACATTGCTTCTGTATTTGCATAACAAGGCTATTTTCATATCTTGAATACCTACTGCATGTTTTACTTCTTTGAACTGTCAAACCGAACTAGGTCAATAATTTTTTCCTCTTCAAAAAAAGGAGCCGGAGTCGCCCCCTTTTTGACGGCTCCGGCTCCGGCTTCGGCTATGGGCCATATTCGACAGTTCTCAGCAAAAACATCCTCACATGCCAAAAATTTGGCATCCTCAAGTGCCAAATTTTTCGAAATTGAGATTTTTTATTATTTATACCATTCGATTCAGCTCGTCGAGCTGAGTCGAATGGTATACAAATATCAATGAGACTATCCGCGCGTCTGTATCTTGTTCCTGTACGGAGTTATTGGCAAAAGATCATTGGTGACCTTTGATGACATCACATGACCTTACAGCTGCCCACCAGCAAAACAGACCTCAAGATAGTGAAGGTTGATCGTATATGAAGTCATGTAGGTATGGTTTATGGAGCCATTCCGACCGGTTTTAGTGGTAAAAACAGGAAGTTGATTTTTCCCCCATTAACTTATAATGGGGAGGTCGAGAAATTGACCTGACCTTAGGTCATCGATATCAAAATTCCGAGATATACCTACAGATTGTAGCTACTAATGACCTTATAACATCCTGCGACTTTCAAAGGCCTCCGACATCTACTGTAGCTCTGGCACGGTGACAAAGTTGCAAAAAAGTGACTTGAGGTTGGGTCATTCAAAGTGACCTTGTGTCTTGTGACCTGACCTTAAAAGTTAGGAGGTTCAAACTTGCACACCAGTCACCATGTGTAAAATTGATGAGCGAATAGTGGTACCAAATTTCCTCAGGGGGCGGATATCCGCCCCCCGTCGGTGCGCGGGTTAATATTGTTCACACTGCAGTGTACACTGTACACAGTGAGGTCAGGTGTCAAGTTGTCAACTGCAGATCCCCATACAGTTGTGGCTGAGGACCTTGTACCTAACCTTAAGTACCTACTGATTTTTCTTTTCAGGTGACAATGGCTGACAGCAATGAATGCAAGATGGATCCGGTCTACAGGCCAGGGGAGGCTGCTATCAAAGCAGAGTAAGTTTATTTTGGTTACATTCAGATTCTGTCCTGAAATAGACTTACTGATGAAATTAACCTTCAAAATTAACCAAAGTTAGCCTTCTGTGCTGGTTAGTTTTGAAGTTTCATAGCATGTCAAGTGTTACCACCCCATATTTACTTTTTTTGTTTTTAATAGGTGTTTATGAGGACATTTATAAAGAAAGTAAGACCAGTAGGACTCTAAGATGCCTACCTTTGGGGATGTCTGATGGCGACATTCAGTTATAGTTACGGCTGTCATCAATGTTACAGATTTCTGTTGCCTATAAATAAAGATGGTGCAGGGGAGCCACAGAATGAAGAAAGCAAGAGCGACCTCTCTGAGGATGTAACAGCCAAAAGAATCAAACTGTCTGATGATGGAGCACCAGAAACCAGCAGTGCAGACAATGCACAACCTGTGGATGATGGGCAAGAAAAGGAAGCAGGCCACCAGAAAGAAAAACAGCGAGGTGAGTGCAATCTGATGCTAGTGCATGCTTCACTTGCTGCCTTTTTATACACTATGCTTAGTGCTGACTGTGGCACTATTTTTTACTAAAATGGTGATTGTGACATCCTAACCCCTGTGCTCACCGCAGGCCGTAACAAGCAGCGTCCGGGCCGAGCTCGTCAGCCGCCCTCTGAGAAGTTGTGTCCGGTGCTGAAGGACGTGCTGGCCTCGGAGCCGGAGCCGCGCTGCACCTTCCCCGGCCAGTGTCACTTCCTACACGACCCGGCCGCCTACCTGGCCAAGAAGCCGGCTGACCTCGGGCCGCGCTGCTATATGTACGAGGAGCACGGCCGCTGTCCGTCCGGGCTGACCTGCAGGTGAGGACAGGGCAGATGGGAAGGAGTGAGAACCACTGACCAGAGGATGGGAGGGACGTGATACTGTTGACAGAGTAGGGCGGGATCACCGACTGGGATTTGAGGGGATGCTCACCAGAGGATGGGAAAGGGGTCACTTGACACCGCTAGCAGGGGACTGGGATGAAATGTGTCACCACTGACCAGGCAGATGGGGCGGGACCTAGGGCTGCAGCTGCCCAGAGGATGAAGCAGTAACGTAATACCGGTGACTAGGTGGGGCTTGGTCGTGGGACCGTTAACAAGGGAGAAAGGACGGAACATCTGGGTTGCCTTCTGCTTCTGATGGGTGTCAGCTGTATCTATGGAAAGAGGCCACGGGATATCTTGTGAGTGGCAGACATGTCACGCATGCTTTCTGTGTACCCACCAGATTCGGTGCGTCGCACACCACGCCGGAGCACCGGAGCAGCGAGGGGGATCCGGAGAAGTGGGCTGCCTACCAGGCGCTGCGCCCCACGCGGAACGCGCTCACCAAGGATGTACAGCGGCAGCTCTGGAAGCGCCGCTACGACTTCTCGGTGTCTAACGCGGCGGTGCAGCGGTTCGACCGGCGGCCGTCGTCGGCACAGAGGGGCGGGCAGAGACAGAGACCGGGCCGGCGGCCGGCCGAGGGGACCGGAGAGGTGCCGCCAGCTCAGAACGGCGTGGGACCAGATGTCCCCATGACGACCCCTGAAACTGCTCCTGCCGCCGCAGCCGGCTCTGAGACAACCACTTCTACTGCTACCGACCCAGCTGTCCCCTCGGACACCTGTGTAGCTACCTCTGGAACTACCGCGGCTCCCGCTCCGGGCCAGGACGCCATCTCCGCGGAAGGCCCCGCTGTGGCGGACATGAACACGTCTCCTGCTCCCGGTGTGGTGTCGGTGGCAGCAGGGAACACTACTAGACCGGTCGACGGACGTGGGGACAGCGCTCAGTCGACGGTCTGCTTGGAGAAGCCGATTGGATCCCACTCGGACACAGACCTCGTGAAGCCCCGACCGGCCGAGAAAAAGAAGGTAAGATGCTGCTGAGCCTGGGTGAGACATGGGAACTTGTACTCTGTCTGCTGTATAATTTCAAGCCTTCTGCGGTACAGTCTAATGGCACAATTTGCCACTGGGCCTTATGGTACCGGTCGCTTTGCTCGGTTAAATGACAACAGCAATGTGCTGCCATCTGGTGCATGTATCCAAGGCATCCGTTTTAACGACATTGGGACACGAAAAAGAGTTTTGAGTTGTGATATTTTCTGTCAGCTGGTAATTTACAGAAGGGTACAGTCATTCAGACACATGAAAGCTGGTGTACGTACGGTAAAGTGCGGAATAGGTACTGGTACACTGAAACAGTCAAGACCTACCTAAACAGCACAGGGGCCTGGTGCTGCCATCTGTACACTGTACATATAATGAGAGAGTGAGATGTAGCCACAGACGGTGTTGTTCGATTGCTGTTTTTTTTATCAGGATGCTGTTGGTTTTGCCGTATATGGAAGTTACATGATTGCGTTTTCGGCCTTTCGGTAAATTTAATTCACGTGTTACACCCTACGTGAATTTCACCGATGATAAGCTGAGAAACGCGAACAACCTGACAGTATGCTAATCTAAAACAGCGACCTGACAGCGCACTAAAGCCAACTACAGTTTACGTCTGGTGGCGCCACATGATGTAGAGGGTACGTAAATCGAGACGGAGGCAGCCCTCGAGGGGTCAGCGCAGATTGCGTGCTGTCACCTAATTCGATGCGATACGATTATCGACGTCTAAAATTTATATTTTTCGGTTCAACCTTATTTGTGGGGTGCAGCTGGAGTTATCATGCGCTTGTAGGAACCAGAGTGGACGTCTATACAGAGTGTATCTGTTTGATGTTCGCACCCCAAGTCGAGGAAATTAGAACATTATAGCAGTGAAGATAATGGTCAGCTCCTCAATCGTTCCCATGATTACTGCTTGCGGTTCTCTCAACGTCAATAATAGTCCTATACTTTTAATCTAATTATATTTTGGGCTTAATGATAAAAGTTCAGAATTCTTCTCGCATCTATAGGTCTCTGGACTATGCTAGCGTGTCCGGTCATGTTTTGATAAAAATGAGACCGTTTCCTTATTGCCAGCATTAATCCTAATGTAAGCCATTGTCTAATTCAAATGTCACCTCAAACGTCCAGAAAGAGGACATTGCAATTTCGATAACAAGTACGAATGGAAACAGATGTAGTTTTTTATTGATTCTACATCACCGTTGACGACCCGTAATAGCGTCGTAATTTATGTTTTGAAACATTTTGGAGTGGCTTACAAACGATTTTGTTGAAAAGGTTTTAACTGGATTTCTACGTTTTGAATGCTTGTGCTTAATATGCTTTACCTAAATGAAAAATATTCATATTGGAAAGACTAAACGGCGACTATGATAGCTGCATTTTGAATGCGTTCGTAGTTTCCCTTTCTCTCAGCACAACGAACGTCTACTAAAATTATACACAAAAGGTGCATGCTCCACGTCCACAGTCCACCAAACTTCTTGCTGCTTCACCAATAACTTTTTCGCTGATATCTGCAGTGTGTCGTCGCTGTGTTTTGTCGAGCCAGATCAACTGCCCAACGCTCGCTGAAAGCTACTCACATCTCGGGGCCCGAGCAGCTGAGCTCCGGAAATCGCAGGATTATCTTTTTCTTGAGAATAAGCAGATTTTCACTACCGTTTTCAGAATAGGATTTGGCTAGATGGAGCTTGAGCATCTAGGGCGCTTTCCTGCGCCTTCTGCACTATGTTTTGTTATCCTAAGTACGGCTTGGTTGGTGTTAAAGCTTTTGGGGTACCGGGGCGTAGTATTGAGGCAACCTTTTCAGTCACCTCTGAGAGAAACTGTAGAGAAAGCTGCGGACCGTTTTGTACCGCGGCTCTGTACGGGATGCGATTCGTGCCAATTTTTCATCGCATCACAGGAAGCTTCGTAAGCCCTCGCTCCGCTCATTGCTGCCTTTTTGTTGTTACGCGTATGTACGGCTTGCTGTACCTCGTCCTGGACTATTTCGTGGTTTGCTTATTACCTAACCCATTATGAGTGGTCGGGCTTTGACCCTTGAGAAGTTGTGTGCTACAAGTTTTATTACCAATAACGACATATTGTGGCTCTTCACTCTTGTCATATGTTTCTGTTGAGAAGTTGTAAAATAGTTTCAACTCTTGAATCATTATAATAAAACCTTTTATTTCCTTGGCAGTTAGAGTTTCTTCTTGACTAAGTAGTTACACAGAGCTGCTCGGTAGCTTGGGTTTGGTCCGTTGTTCACCTACCCAGCCATTCTCGTGGCCCGGCGGCTCTGACCCGGAGTTGCTCTACCAAACGATGACCGTCGTGCCGCGGGCCGGTAGCCGCCGGCCGCCGACCGTGCCCGCCTTCACTGTGTAGCCCAGGAGCGATCAGCGGGTCCAGCAGTCCGGGAGAGGGGAGGGGCGAGGCGAGCGGTCTATGAGAGGCAGGGAGACGGGCTGGTGTCTGACGCTACTCGGTGCGGAACGTGTGCATTTTGTGCTGGATAACTGGCTGAGGCATTATCCGTGCAATACCTTACATGGAATGTTTACTGTATGCTCTGCTGGTGATGCGGTCACATGTATTGGTAAGACCAGCTGTATGTCTTTGGTGCCGCTGCTGCAGCTATATCTCACCGTTCCTTGCCTCCTGGTAGGCAGTACCTCACGCCTGTTGTACACCTTCCGGCAGGTGGACTGGCAGGACCAGTTGTACTTGGCGCCGCTGCAGTGACTGTACCTCACACTTCTGTACCCCCGTGACTGTACCTCACACCTCCGTACCCCGGCAGGTGGACTGGCAGGACCAGCTGTACCTTGCGCCGCTCACCACGGTCGGTAACCTGCCGTTCCGCCGACTGTGCCGACGACTGGGTGCCGACATCACGTGCGGAGAGATGGCCATGGCTACCAACCTGCTACAGGGCGCCCAGGCCGAGTGGGCGCTCGTGCGACGGCACCATTCCGAGAAGGTGTTCGGCGCCCAGGTGAGGAGAGGACGCTCAGTGGCGCTGGTTGGGCCATTCGTGGGGAATAAGACACGGGCTTTTGGCATTGCGCAAATGATTATCAGATGTTGGGGTCAGGGAAATGGAAGAAGGTGCCGCATGTTTTGTGGGGATTTGCTGAATTATTAGCTTGAAAAGGTATTGCCTTACGTGTCCTGCTCGGGTGTGAGTAACAACCCATTGTTTTCAACGAGAGATAGCTTTTTGAACCTCCCCCGATTTTGACAGTGTGTCTAACCTTGTTCGTTTCACAGATCTGCGGCAACAACCCGGGCGTGTTAACCCGGTGTGCCCAGCTGCTGAACGAGACCTGTGAGCTGGACTTCATCGACATTAACCTCGGCTGTCCGATCGACCTGGTCTACCAGCAGGTCAGTCGGGGTCAGCACAGATCACAGTCAGTCAGTCTGTCGGGCCAGAACAGGCCACAGTCAGTCGGGTCAGGACAGGCCACAGTCAGTCTGTTGGGGTCAGCATAGGTCACATTCAGTCTGTCGGGTCAGTCCCTGGTGTGTGCCGTGTGCGGGTCAGTGAGGCCACGGCAGACCACACTCAGTTCGTTCCTGATCTACAATAAGGTAAGTGGCTCCACGACAGGAAACAGTCAGTCCCTGTAATGCGTACCCAGGCCAGTGAAATGGTTCTGCGACACCTGAGCGAGCGTCATTTCAGCGAACGACATTTGAGCGAAGCCTTTTCAGCGATTATCAATTTAAGCGATTGACTTTTTCAGCGATTGTCAAGTCGGCGAATTCAATCACAGCGATTATCAACTTAAGCGAGGACCAGAATCAGCGAGACCAGATTGAGCGAATATATGGAGGTCAATGGGGGACCAATTGAGCGAATACAGTTACAGCGAAACCGAACGCGACGGAAGTCAATCATTTGCTACTTTTCGGGAATTCTTGCCCTTGGAATGCCCGCTTGGTATGTGTCATGCTTCAAGCTGCGCGCGGCAACTTAAAAATTTGCTTTTAAGCTTGGAAACCACAAAAATATCTGGCCTCATTATGCAACTTTGATCTGGAAATGTGGAACGTGAGAGATAGGACGACGGAAGGAATGTCAAGGACCAATAATAAATTCGAGGGATGGCACAGGGGGATCCAGTCTATGTTTCAGGGACCTCACCCAAATATCTGGAAATTCGCACGTTGCTTGGGGCAAGAACAAATTTTAAACATGGGGAACTGATCCAAATTCAAGCGGGGGAATTTCGCGAAAAACAGCACAAGCAATATGAATCTCTGAATAAACGTTTGGTCACCATTATTGGCAAACAGAACTTTGAACGTGACATCCGCCAATCGCCATCCAGTTCCGGATAACCATGAAAAGTTCCGGAAACATTCTTTGTACGTACGCTCGCAAAAGTAAAAAAAAAAAAAAAACACCGTTACGGGACGATGAAGTGTTTCGCTGAAATGACAGTCGCTCAAACTGTAGTCGACGAAATAGATGTCGCTGGAACATAGCTTTCGCTTAAATTGATACTCGCTATATTTGATAATCGCTCAATTTGATATTCGCTAAGAGTGAGCTGCCAGTCGCTGAAAATGGTTCGCTCAAATGACGTTCGCTCAAATGACACTCGCTAAAGTCGCTCGCACCGTAGTGAAATCACGGCGCGCCAACGGACTTGCCGTAGCCGATACTGGAAGACATACCCGACACATACCAATATCTTTGATTAGTTTTATGTTGAGAGGAGCATCTCACTCAGAGAAGAGTTCGTTTTCTGTACCCTGGGTATGTCTACAGATCGGGCCCAGGTGGTTAGCTACACACTGGCGTCAGAACTCCGGTCCTTATTACCCACCCACCCTCCGCCCGTCGTGCGGCCACATTCAGTCATTCAGCACTATGTGAAGCACTGTCTGACGATGTATCCCGGTCGGAGTCTGCCATACACCGCAGTCATTCCGCACCGAGCAGCCCGCGGCGGCTGTTGTCGATACGGTGTGGGCCTGACGTGCGATCGACTCCGATATCGTGTTTCCAGTCGAGCTGCGGTCTGTCTCGGAGCGGGGCGCGACCCCGGGGCTCATCAGTGAGCGGCGGCCGGGCAGACGGGCGGTCCGGCGGCGGTGGGACACGCCAGTCGGCTGCTGGGGTCTCCTACAGACGGGCTGGGCATTATTTTCGGCAGAGACGGAAAACTTGCCAGTCAGGAGTTTGTATTTAATTCTGTTTGAATCCAGCTATCACAAACTTGGAGATACTGAATCCTGAACCATTTCTGAAAATGAAGCTATCTTTTTAGAAGCGACCTTCCCGGCCAAAATCTAACTCGATTACTCATACTTTATGCGAGAAGTATGTGATTTACAGTTTAACTGCGTGCTTCAGCTCAAGAGTTGCTAGTATTTCGGTGTATGGGCCTCGCTCTATATCTCATACGGGCAAATGGCCACGCTGCCCGCTGAAGTGTATACAGTATTGCGGCGATTCTAAAATTGATGGACCCACCACACGCGCAACCCATTCCCTCAAATCGAGTTAGGACTGTAGCGAATGACCAATAAATCAGTTTCGTACTTTGGTAAGGCATGCCTGCCTACCAGCCAGTGCGGCGTGTTGTGCTGTTTATTCTCCTCACCATTCTTCGTGTGGTTATTTTTAGTGTCTCCGCCGTCCGTCCGCGCGAATCCCCCGTCCTTGGCCGGTCATCCGTATTCGTCACGGCGCGGGACAATCACGGCTCTGCCGCCACACCATATGGCGCGTGCATCATTTGTGTGCGTCGCCGCCGCCGTCGGCTGTCGCAGCGGCCGCTCGGGCGGCGCCGGCGTTGAGCCGTCGGACGCCTTTGTAACCGTGTCGTGCCGTTCATCTCGCCGCCCCCGCCCCCGCCCCCGCCCCGGCGCGGCGCGCTCTGCTGGGAGTGGCCGCAGTTGCAGATGCAAACAGACAGGACCGGTTGTGGGCGTAAATCGGAGCCTGCCGGGAGACTGACGGCCGAGACTGCCTTCCACTCGACAGCCCCTGTTCGGTAGCGAATGGAAACGGCCGTGGACGACGGGCGTGGGCGGTGGGTGGCGGGCGGTGGGTGGAGTGTGGCGGGCGGTGGGTGTTTTGAATGTGATACTGGTCGACATTTGCTTAGTGGCTAGTGGCTTAGACGGTAGTTGAGGAAGGATTCTTGTCATATTAAAATTAATCCTAACTTTGGAACGCTCGTTGGTCTGTGACAGCGTCAGCCGACTGAAGTCAGCACTCCTCGCCAAACTACCTTCCAACTCGGCTGGCCATAGATTGTTTCTATCCTTTGGCAGCTGGTCAAACGGAGCTGCGCTCTAACGGACGAAAACGGTCCGTCCGCTAACAGGGCAAACCCACGACGGGAGGGTGTGAGGAGCTCGGCGACTCTGAGGGATTAGAGACGCGAGGCGAGGGAGGAAACGGACGCGGGCGAGGGGAATTGGAAAGGAACCGATCCAGCACCCTTAGCCTTGTCAACTTTTAACTGAACGGCTTGGATACTGGGTAGAAGGATCACGGGACAGACGTTTTGGATAAATTGCCATCATAAGACATTGGGCATTTCCGACAGAATATTACAGCCGAACATTCGACATAGCGGGCCGAATGTTACTGCTGGATAGGGGACATTGCCGAATTTATGTTACCACTGGACATTTTGTGTTCTCAAAAGAACATCATGGTATCGACAGCCACATGTTCCTTGAAGACACTCCTATAACTGGACTGGAACGTCTGATCTGCTACAAGCCCTGCTGTTCTGTCTCGGAGAGAATCTGCATCGAATCCATACTGGCCTGCCTGCCACCTGGCCTAGCGGGAGCCATAACTCCCAGTTTGACTGCCCAAATTGAGTCGAGATCAATGGTCACAAACACGTCAATACATGCCGGTTGGAGGCCGGCCAGCGCCGCTCTATGCTCTCTCCTCTCTTCTCTCCTCCCCGCCCTCTGCCGGTTCCTTGTACCGCTCGCAGGAGCCTCTTCTCTGGCCGCCTCTCGGACCGGAACCATATCCGGGATTCGACGAATTCTGATTCACTCGGCCCATCAGAAGTTGGCCGATCGCCTCAGAAGTCGTCCAATGTCATTTGTGCCGTACGGACGACCGCCTGCTCTGGGATGCTCCAGTCGGGACAGGGAAGCGTTCGCGGCAGGTTGACTGTACTGCCAGGATTCCGGTGAATTTTACGAGCATTCTTGGAATCTCTACATACCACATCGTCAACAGGCTATTTCAGCTCCGACCGTAGGTCATTTGAGGTAAATGGGTGTCGTATGTAATCAAAAGGCGGCGCTGTGAGGTAGGGAGTCCCAGCAGCGGAGCTAACATATTTTGATGAAAAATGATAGCTCTCTGGTCGTATGTGTTAAACTGCCGAGCTGGCCACTTATTAAGCAGTTTGATTATATATTTTGATGCCTTCCAACAATTGGCTGGCTTCACGGTGGCCGTATATCAAAGTTAATGAGGTTGCCGGTCGGCACTAGCATCACGGGCCGCTCATGAACTGCTGGACGGAAAGAAAGGGTAGCATTAGGGCTCTAGAGCCGATCATTGCTACTGACCGAACGGACGGTCGGCCGGGTGGACTGACAGACGTTCTAGGAGCCAGTGGACCGCTCATGGGCACTAGACGGACGACGGAGGCGATTGACCTCTAACTCCGTCATAGATGTCCTGCGAACGAACTATGAGGTACGGGGACCCGCAATTGCTACTGTACAGCGACCCAGAGTAAATTGTCCCAGCACCCACACAGGTAACAACGATAAGATGTCAGAGGGCACGCACAGAAAACCTCAGCTGCTCTTGTACAGGGACTGGCAGTCGATATCAATGTTATCGGTTGTTACTGGACAGGACAGACGGTTAGACTTGGGGTTCGTGTACAGTAGCAACTGCGGGTCCCCGTACCTACCCGAGCTGTTTTGTCGTGCACAGTCCGGGGTTCACGTTAGTGGCTATTTCTAGAAAAGCAGGTTCGCCAGGCTAGAAAATAAAGCTTGCCTTAGACTTCATAGTGAATAAACTTTTGCCGCCTCTTTTCTGCGCGTCATTACTCTCACGTCAGAGAAAACACTTGCATGTCGTGTAGAATGTGCAGCACAATGCCTCACAAGTGCTACAAATAACACATTGTCTGGTTGTATGAAGACGCCAACATTTAACCCTCGCGTCTCTGCTGGAGTCTGCCTACACCATCACTTCTGCGTCCTACATATCTAAGGGTCGCTGCTGAGCCCCCGCAGTCATAAACATATATCAAACTGCCAATTTTAGTCATAATAGGCTCATTCTGCATGAGCTCGTGCTGCTGAAAGCCCACAAGAAAACCGTGAAATCGCCGCCCTGAGCCCCTGAACACCGCCGTCGGATCCGTGTT